GAAAGGCTGGTTGTTCATCGCGTGTATGACAACTATAACTAATCTAGTAATGAGTAATTGAGTTATCTTTGCATCGATGATCAGTTGAATGGACCGTGTCTGAAAAATTGTACCTTTGACTAGAGTCATATTGGATATTGATTATTTCCTATTTATTTCTTTTAGTTGTTTCATTAGTTAGTTAATTAGTAATTTTATAAAAATCCCCATGCACTGAACTTTAGAAGAAACGAATTATCCCCAATCCCTGTGGATTCGACCCTACTCACCGCTATATACATAATCTGTATTTTTCTCGAGTAGGTAATTATTATTGTACAGGCTCGACACCCTGTCAATATGGATTAACTTAGTGTTAAAAAAGTTTAACTATTAACTGATAGATTTATCAATATTGCTGGAAATTGAACATTTGTTGATGCATAAATAAATTGCTAAATTTTTTGTACTTAATTAAGTACGAATATGTAACTAGGTTTATGGTTATTATAAAAATTGAAATCATCTAAAAATTATCCATACACAAAAGGGTAGAATATCTATTGATTTTTTTATATGTGTTATAATATTTGATGAATATTATTATATTATAATAAAAGTATATAAAGAATTTTTTAAAAATTAGGATGGTAGTTAAGTGTAATTATTACATTAATTTTCTAAAATTAATATGAATGAACTTGTAAGATCATCATTAATTTTTTATTTAAATTATCCATGCTTGCACGAATTCATAATAATTTTTTTAAAAAATAAACCATGCCATTATTTGAATGAGTATCATTATTTTTAAATTTCACTATTTTACTATTTCACATTATCAAAATTTTCTTCTTTTCTACTGTTTGCCTTTTCATTTTTATATTGCACAATAATTTTATATTTATAAAATTATAGTTTACATTAAAAATTACTTTATACTTTACTACCCACTATTATATTTATTTTTACCTTTATTCTTATAACAACCCACTGCCAAATAATAATTTATTTGTATATTTATTCAGGTAAATATCAATTTTCTATATATTTTATAAAAAATATATAACCAAATCTTATACATAATAATTTCAATGATTATTTTTCAAAGATTTGGGAAATGCATCTTCTTGTAAATTGAATGAGTTTTTTTTTATTTAAAAACTTTTTTTAGGGTTTAACATAAAATAAAAATAATTGATTTAGCAAATTTATCTGGACCATTTTCTTATGTTTGAACTTAAAAAAAATTAACCACAAAGGTAGCATAAGTTTTTAATTTAAAAAAAAAGTAAGCTGCAGGCCGCCGCGCTGAGCCTGCAAGTTTTTTCTTTTTTAAGAGAAAGTTATGTTCGTTGACCGCCTGCGGCTTTTCTTAACAAATTTTCATGGCTATATATATATATATATATATATATATATATATAAAGAATTCTCTTGTCTACCGACCCGGTAGGCATAGTATTATACTACAATGTTGTCAGAACAACATTGTTCCGACTTTTTATTTTTTCGGCAATAACCAGAGTAATTAGCAAACTAGAGAAAAAGTAACGCCAAAAGCTTCCACGGAATCCTAGAATTTACTGCGCCTTCGCCTGAGTCTTTCTACAATGCTGCTACCCTACATGCATTTGTCTTTTCTGAGTCTTTCTATAATGCTGTAATAATTTTCTCAGCTACCATATTAGTAGATTTTCTCAGCTACGCTAGTCTTTCTATAATGCTGTAGTAATTTTGTCAGCTACCATACATGCGTTTATATTTTATTAGGTCTTCGCTGGACTCTATATAATGTAGTAGTAATTTTCTGTGCTACTATACATGCATTTGTCTTTTCTTAGGTCTTTGATAGATTCCTATTCGCTAGACCATACATGCATTTGCTAGAAATTGAACAAAATTTCTTGCTCAAAGAATTAAGGGCATGTTCCAGGATAGTTACACGTGAAGTAACTATAATTAAACATGTCACAAATGCGTAAGAGTTAAGAAAATAGTATGGTCTAAGGATAGCAGTCCAAAAATTGAAATTGCTTAAAATTGTGGAGGCAGAAGTGGCTGAACTAGCCTTAATCTTGATGATTGTAATTGCTTCTAGATATTGTACTGATTGATCCTATGCACCAATGGTACTCGCGCGGAGACATGATTTGGAGGATTTTGCAGTTTCAAAATATCCTTTATTTCCAGTGCATTCAGTTTCAAAAGACAAAGAACAAAACTCAATGAAATTTTCTCTATGGTCACAGACATTAGGATCTCTTTATTGTCAGCCAAAAGCAGAAGAAAAATAAAAATAAAAATTTTCAGAGAAACCTGGCTTTGGTCCTGGCCAAACTCGTTCAATGATAATTGCTTCAGGTGCAAAAGATTATAGCAATAATCATGTTCATAAGGACTAACTACACTTTACACCTCTAAATTTGCACTACTTTTTTGTATTATAAATTTTAATTTTGGATGCTTTGTGTTTTAAATTCTTAATTTTGGACACTTTGAATCTCAAATTTTAAAACTGAGGAGGATAGGTGCTGGACTAAGGGTCTGTTTGTTTTGGCGGAAAATATTTTTCACATTTTCCGTTGTTTGGTTATCAATTAATTTGGGGAATTAATGATTTCCGATGGAAAAGAACTTATACCGAGAAAAGGAAAATAACTTTCTTGTCTATCATTCTGAAGTTATTTTCCTTTCACACAGTTTTCACCGAAAGATGGAAAATCACAGCCTCACTCCACCTCCCATTAAGACAATTGAAGACCCACTCCACCACCCAGCTTTCCCCCTCCCCCCTGCCCTTCTCTCTCTCTCTCTCTCTAGGATATCAAAACACCTATATTATCTTTTCTTGGCCCTAGCAATGCCAAACTTGAACAATAGTTTGAAGAGTTAAGAACTCTGGTTTCCCAATATCAAGAAAATAGAGTAGTATTACTTTGAGTTCGGTCAACTTTGATTAGTTTTCATGAGGTACTAACTACACAGTGGCTGCGACTTCTGGTATCAGGTACCTTTAATTTACTACCTTTAGTTGCCATAGTTCACTTAATTAATGATTATATGCATGCAATCAATTAATAATTATATTAAATTTTCATAGTCATCAATTAAACTTTCAAATTTTCATAAAAGAGACTCTTCTCCCCTTAAGGATTTTTTTAAAAGGAAGATAAAAAGTCAATTAATTAGTATCATTAATAATTGCATTTAAGAATTCATGGTGTAATATGAATAAATATTTTATAAAAATGATAATATGATTATAATGGATAGAAACTAAAAATAACTTGTAATAAAATGAATGTTTTGAAAGTAGAAAACATTTGCAACATATCAAAAAATATTTTACTGACAAACCAAACACCGAAAAATGATGAAAAAAGGAATTTGGAAAATATTTTCACTAAATAACCAAACACTGGAAAATTATGGGGAAGGAAATGATTTTTCAGGAAAATGACTTCTTTCCCTAGGAAAATATTTTCAGTCCAACCAAACGGACCCTAAATCACAAATAAACTGGATTAAGGTAAACACAGATGCAGCTCTGAGTAGTAAGAGCAACAAGGCAGGCTGGGGCATTGTGGCTAGGAATTGGCAGGGGACGCCGATTGGTACCTGGGCAATCCCAACTAGAAGCTGCTCAAGTGCTCAACTGGAGGAAGCAATGGCAATTAGAAGGTCAAAAATGGTGAAATGCACTGTTTGAATCTGACCGTAAACAAGTGGTGGACAAGTTAAATACAAATGAAGAGGAGGCTGGCATTGCTACCATTCTATTGGACATTCGAAAACTAAAAGAGGATTTTGACGAATGTTGCTTTTCCTTCACAAAGAGGAGAAACAACTCTGTAACTCATCACGTAGCAAAATTTGCTATTAGTCTGATTGATATAGCTCAATGGAAGTACGACTTCCCAATTTGGCTGCTGGAATTAGTCCAAGCAGATTCAGTCGAGCAGTTGCTCTAAGTGTGTACTTTATATGGGGGTTAATAATATGTTATCATTTTGGAAAAAAAAAATCTCAAATTTTCAAGTTTATCCTATTTAAATCCTATCAGTGACAATGAGAACATAGAAACTAGAGAAAATATCAGGCCAAAAGGATCCAACAAATCCTGCAATTGACTCAAGTCTTTGCTAAATTCGTTTCATAATGCTGCAGTTATTTCCTATGCTACCAAACATGAATTTGGCTTTTCTCATTTAAATCCCCGCTGTCAAACATAATTTATTAAATCAGGTTTTGCAAATATAAACTAAAGGAAAGTCATGCACGAGCCTGGACTTCTCTACTATAAGCTTATTACTACAAACAAAAAATTTGCATCTCCACATTAATACGAAAATTGCTAATAAAGGACAAATTATTCCTTATTAAAACTCAAATACTTGACTGTTTACTTCATTGCTTGATGCTTAAAACTAAACTGCATATGTGTGAACACACAAAAACATTTGTTTCTGATAGTTACAGCCTTAGCCAGGCCTTATCAACATCTCATTCAACCTGCCTTAGAAAATAGAAAGAAAATCACATTCAATTCTCAATTCTTTATTTTGCACTATTTTGTTGGGTGAGCAATTAACAGGCACGTGAAATAGTGGCTCAATGGGGGAAGAAAAAACGAGGGCTATTCCTTTTTTGTTTTTGGATTGCGTGATCAATTAACAGGAAACGATATAAGCAAAACAATTCTTCATGTTCAGGCCCTTGATTTTCCTTTGTGAATAATGAACTGAAAAAAGAAACTTAAAAATACTGGTTCAATTGAATCTTAAAATTAATGCAAAACATGGACATGAATGCTGTAGTGTCTGAAGTACAATCTCGATTTAGTACAAGACCTCTGAAACTTGAATACATAATGTTCCAGTTCCCCAATTTTAAAACCTCTCAAGCCTGGCCAGATTCTTCAATTCTCGATTCTCAATTAATGGCTTCATGTATTTTCCGTTATGAAATTGACAAAGTCTCCATTCTGGAGCTCATTTCCAGTTGTCTCGGATTTGGTATCACTTGAAACTGGTCTGTATCAGGGCCGTCAACAAAAACCAGAGGAAATTTGCAGCGCTCAGACCGGCAAGCACCCAATAATAGTAATTCAAGTGACTCTCATTCAAGTCATGCTGAAACCAACTCTTTTTCCCTCCTTTCTCGCTAATCTTGCCCACCAAATGAACTGATAAAACACTTCCCATGATTCCCAGACCGGATAATCCAGGATTGAGGTAGACAAGGTACTTTTTCATCGATGGGGGACTTTGATCATTCAAGAATTCTGCAACACTGTTCTCATAAAATGAGTCTAGCCCACCAAGAAGAAAGAATTGCGGAACAAGCAAAAAGACAGTCATGGGGATTTTCTCGTTAGGCTTGTCAATTAAACCATCACTTCTTATCACATGTATCCCGTGAGTTTCTGCAATGGCCGCAAATATGCAACATAATGCTGAGCATATTGTAGCTAATGCAATTCCAGTTGCTGGTGCATACCTTCTCGCCTCCTGCCACTTTCATACAGTTGTATACCCTTTTAAAACCCAACTTCGCTGCTTCATATAGCAACAGAAGGGTTGAATCAGGAAATTTCAATTTCCCAACCTTGTAATTCAGGTGGCTTGCTTGCTCTACGAAGTATGTGTTTCCCACGGAAGTAACTACAGAACAAATTATGCAGGTGATCCAAACTGGAAGCATACAGATTATGACCCGTCTTTCTTGACTTTGAGTCCTGAATCTGATAATATCCCTGTCAGAGAACCTAAGCAAAGGAAGAGAACAGCAAAAAAATTCCTATGGTCAGAAGTTTCATTATCTCTTACTTGAGAACAAAGAAATAGATCTGTATTTGATTTATGGAACACCCGACACTCTATTCCTTTTCAAGTGAAAGTTGAAAAACAGGGAAGAAGGGCAAAAATTAAGACTATGATCAGGAAGAGGAAGATGGAAAAGGAAGGATGTGTGGGGTGAACCCAAGTCTGCTGCCCTGGTATTCGCATGAACCCTGAATGAAAAGAAGTGTTGCCGCCAGTGTGAAAATTGCTGGAATTCCAAACCGAAGTTTCCATGGGTGTATGTATGGAAGTGCAATTAGTGCAATAACCGCGACAATGAGCACAAAGATAACGCCTAATGATCTTAGGCCCGATATGCTGCTTCCGTTTCTTTGGTTCTGTCTCTTAACAAGCTCCATCATTGCTTCTACTGGTTGAAACTGAAGTTTTGATATATCCTCTTCAGGTTGAGGGCTTTGTTGCCTGTTGCTTGTTTTATCAACAACTTGGCTCCTTTCAAGCTGATCCAATGCAAATGCAGCTAATGAAACATTGTGCCCACTCACTCCAACAGCTGTCAACGCCAGACCTGTGTAAAAGATAGCCTTCTGTGTGTGACCAATGCAATTAGGCTGGTAATTAGCACAGATGTGCATTAACTTGTGCAGTGCTGGTGGCGTAGACATTGACAGAAAACCCAAGCCCTGCTCATAATTTTGGATAATCAGTTCAAGAAAGTCCAGTAAAACTGGAAGCTATACTTCTATCAAGTTAGGCCGTGAAATTGATGACTAAATGGAAGGAGGGGAGGAAGAACTGTGAATGAATTTGCCGACAGGAGAACTTACAGAGGAAAAGGCTATACTTGAGAGAAGCAGTATCCAGTAGTTATCCACTCCAAAGTCCCCAAATAAGAAAGAATAAAAGGGACCAATTTAGTTAGGCCAGTGTATACATTCATTATTCCTGCAGCATGAGTAAACCCAACTTTCCAAACATCTGTTAAGTACTTCTGCATTATCCACGTCACGTAAGTCGCCAACAAATCAGCCCATATCAGAACTGTTAACAAGCAGAGGAAGTTAAAGAATGACAAGGCCTTTGATGACTCTGAGATGAATTAAAAGTACCCATTATTCTGACAAATGCCATTGCTTTTTCGAACTTCTCGTTGAAATCCTGAGTGTGAGAAAAATACTATCAGAACAAAGGAAATTAAGCTGACGAATAGAGCAGTTTCAGAACCATATGGTGGCCATAGCAAGCTGAAAGAAACCAGAATTAATAGTTTGGATTGAGGTTTTTCTTTAATTACCTCCAGCAGCTATGTGTTCTGCTGGTCTGCGAGGGAAAAAGAGAGACGGAGAAACTTCTCTGCAAGAAGTCGTTGTTAGGAAACTAGTTTAATTTCTTTTAAACAGATTCCTTATTTTGTGTGAAAGTAACTAGATTTCTAATTGATTTTAGTTACTTAAATAGTAGTCAAGGAATTTCCTATGTGTACGAGTTTAGGAAAAGGAGTTATTTCCTATTCTAAATCAGGGCAGGAATTAGGAATGATTTCCTATTATTATTTGGGTTTTGTCCAAATAATGTTCCTTATAAATAGGTGGGTTAGCATACTACATACAAGGGCACACAAGGGCGACATGTAGCCTTATACATGGATGGTGAAAGAGGGTTCTTGGGAGATGAGAGATGATATGAAAGGATTGGATTTGGATTCAAATTGTATTCTTGTATAGAGTTTTTCTCTCATAATGAAGAACGAGTTTCTCTCCGGGGATGTAGGTTTAATGGTAGAGTCGAACCATGTTAAATATTGTGTGTCGTTTATCTTTTATGCTTATGGTTTGTTTATCATTAAATTATTATATACTTGATATTTCAATAGTTGTTTGTTCCGCGCTTTAATCCTAACAAGTGATATCAGAGCTTGGTTGTGAGATTGAGCGGCTCACAAGTACTTGAATCCCAACAAACTGAATGGTTGAATTAAGAGTTTATTTGTTCAAGGTTGGATCCTGGTTAATTATTGAGATCAAGTGCGTTGGTGGCTGTTACCAATTGAACAATTTAATGGGTGTTATTCTTATTTCAAAAGTTTGGTAAGAAACATTAAAAGTGAAGAATGGAAAGTTGAAAAACATGAAGATACTTGACAGTGAATCTATACCGGTGATTTAAGAGTCAAGAAAAAGATGGAGTCTAATGTCGATTTTTGAACATAAATCGTTGGGTTGATATCTGCTTCGGAAGCTGCCTGTCCTTCAACTGTATATCTATTAGTCTCCACAGTCTTATTGCACCTTTTGCTCTTGACTATCTTAACTCTGTGGCCTCATCTACAGCTGCACTTCCCGCACCTTCTTTCCTTCAAAACCCATCCTTCTATTGTTTCAAATGAGGCAACATCGTAGCTTTGGATAATTTTATATGTGCTCACAGTTCACAATTTGATACATTGAAATTATCTTCTCCATAATTTCGAGACCACCAACTGTGTGGCTCCAAATTCGAACTTTTATTGGCCTGGTCCAGTTTGCTTAGTAAACCGAGAGTTCGCCTCTCACGATTTACAATCCATCTATTTGTCTATTAGCAGCTAGGAAAAATGACTTGTTTCGTCTTTTACATTTTGATGAAAAATTAATTTTATTATTTACTTTTAATATAAAGTAAATTAGTCCCTCATATTTTAAAGTGAACCAAGTTAGTCTCAAAATAACCTGATATAGTCATATGGATCTTACACTTAATCAACATAAAAAGAAAATAAATTTAAAATTATAACATAAATTACAATCCATTTTCTCTAAAAAAAATTAAAATTTTTTAAAAAATGACATTAAGCTAACGTAGGAAGGGAAAAATTAAAATTCATATCATAAAAGAAACCCCCAAGTTACAAAGTTTTACAACTAAAAAATGTTTAACTTTTATAGAGAATGGTTTGTTTTAGATGTTATAATTTTTAATTTTTCTCTTTTTAGAGAGAATAGTTTGTTTTAGATGTTATAATTTTAATTTCTTAAGAGATAATTGTTTATTTTTGATGTTACAATTTTTAATTTTTCCCTTTTATGTTGACTTAATAAAATTTCCTAATGAATTTTTAATTTTAAATTTTTTAAAAGAAAAGGGTTTTTTGTCATAATTTTTAATTTATTTCATTTTTATATGACTTAATCACATGTGCATATCAAGTATAGTTAGATTTGGAAGAAATTAAAGTGACTGTTTCTATTTCACCCCTAAAATCTATATCAGGTTGTCATTTTGGGACTAACTTGCTTCATTTTTAAATATGAGAAACTAATTTGATTCATTTTAAAAGGGAAATTTGCCAAATTGGTCCTAACATTTACCAAAAACACTTTTTAGTTTCTAACATATAAAATCAGCCAAAATTGTCCTTCACATTTAAATTGTGATCCAATTTGGTCCTAATGCTCATTTTTGCTCCTTTCTCCGGCTAAAAATAGCACGCCTCTCTCACGTGGCCATATTTTCAAGGGCAAAATTGGAAAACACAAATCCCAGATCCACTGGGGACGATCCCTGACCTCACGATCTTTATCTTGTTTCGATTCTCTAAGGACAGGTTCACCACAACAGAGTGACTGACTGAGTTCACCTGAACAGAAGCATATTTGGAGGTGATCAAAAAGAGGGAGTGAAGTAAGGTGAGGTGAGGTATGCGACGCGCGCCAGTGGCGTCGAGCAGCGGCGGCGGCTGCTTCTCGTGGATGCGGGCTGCAGCGTCGGGGCAGGCAGAGGATGAAAGAGAGCCGCGCAGTGGCGACGCGCTGAGCAGCGGGCGGCGTGCGCTGGGTCGCGGGTGAGCTGGTGGAAGGATGCGGTCGACTAAAGAGAGAGACGAGGGCAGTGCCAGGCAGCGGAGCAGAGATCGCGCGACAGTAGAGAAGAGCGGCGACGAAAGCGAGGTTGGAGGGGCGGAGGATGCGGCGCGGTGATGAGGGCTCTCGGTCGCGATGGAGAAGAAGAACAGGGGACAAGAGAAAGAAGAAAGCTTTTGTTTTCCAATTTTGCCCATGAAAATATGACCACGTGAGAGGGGCGTGCTATTTTTAGCCGGAGAAATGAGTTAAAAACGAGCATTAGGACCAAATTGGATCACAATTTAATGTGAAGGACAATTTTGGCTGATTTATATGTTAGGGACTAAAAAAGTGTTTTTGGTAAATGTTAAGGACCAATTTGGCAAATTTCCCTTTTAAAATGTAGGACAAAAAACATTCCAAGATGTGATGATTGAAATTCATCAGACCATCATATTGACTTAGAAGAAAATATGAAGGCAAAAGGTTAATTGATGATTGAAGTTCACTATATTATTGACGAAAACGGAAAAAAAAAGAAGAAAAAAGTGGTTACGGAAGAAGACAAAGCTGAAAACAGAAAAGGCCCCAATATGCTCTGGAATATGAGGTGCGATTTGGGAGAAGGGGTTTTTGTCAATGGTGTAGACAATATGCGTTTCCTTTTTACCCACAAATAAAGAGCAAGATTATACCACTTCTTTCCACCCAAAAATAAAAAAAAAAAAAAAGAAAAAAGAAACCACATACACAAACACTCAATTTTATTTTATTTTTACAGTCCTAATGAAACTTTTAATAACTGCCAATAGCTTACTATCTTCGAAAAAGCTTAGTATCTTCTGAAAAAAGGAAAAAAAACTCTCATTATAGGCCTAATAAAACCCTCCAATACTTGCATTGCTTTTTTTTTTTTTTTTTTTTTGTGTTAAAGGTTTTCTTCCACTACAGCAAGTGGTTCTTGGATGAACCCAAATTTTGTAGGAGGCAAAAGGCTGGGCCAAGATAGGACTCGTATAAGGACTTAATGGGCAACACTTCTGTGGGTGATTGGAGTAACGGCTAATAGAATGACAATCGCCAAGCAATCATTGCTGTGTGAAAAATGTCCTTTCCGCTTTAGTATTATAGTAGTCTGCGGGCCCGCGCCACGCGCAGGGTAGGCATATGTAACCCCTGTTAATAATTTGTGTTTGTCTAGTAATATTTTGTAAAGTTTGTTTTGTAAATATTGATGTAGGAAATAATTTTATAATATGTAAAATAATTGTGAGCTAGTTATTTTTGATTAAATGAGGATTATTGGAAGGATTGTTGGTAGGTTATTGTATAAAATGTAGTTTAATGTTGAATAAAAATATAGCATATATGTGCTGAAATAGTAGAATATGAGAATAGTATTGAACGGTGAAAGTGTAATCTTTATAGTTATTATTTTATATTGCAGGAACTTCTACAAGTTTGACATCCAATATCTACATTTGATATTTGTTCATAATTATGAGAATATAGTCTGGACTAATAATATGGTATTGTAGCATTTTTTCGAACTTTGATGTTCCAACATCTGTGTTGGTAAGAAAAGATGAATATGCTATTTTTGTTTGGCAATATATGAGCAACATCGTCGTGTTAGAGTTCTTGCAAAATAAAATAGATGATTACAGTAAACATGTATGATTTTTTCTTTTTTTTTTAATGTCACCATCCAAACAAAACTTCTGTGTTTGAAAGGATAATCAGCATTTAATGCTAGAGAAAAAGTAACACTATCAATGGGAAATAAAAAAAACGCAAACTCAAAGTGAGAATTTTCCAATGAAGAAGGCTGCATTCAATATCACATGAGGAGCTACCAGGGCACCGACGCAAATGGACCGCAATAGCCAAAAATATCAATCCATACCGAAATAACCAACGGACACCCTTTTTCTGTTCATTCAGTCAACTCTCACTTTTATATAGTTAGATTAGATTAGATTTGGAGAATTGTTAACGGCACTCTATTTTTTTTTGCTAGTGACATTTCCATTATTATTTTTAACATATGATATTTATTTATTAGACTATATGATAAAGTAAAAGATGGGAATGCGATTAACAAATAGTGAAGTGTGTTAATATTTCCATTGTATTTAACGGATAACTAGAGTTTTATGTATTAAACTTTGTCGTGCTTTATGAGTAGTCACCTTTAAATGTCGAAAAAATGTATTGTTCTTTAGTACACTTAGTGATGATTAGAAAGATAAAAACATAGTGCTAATATGTATTTTTAGTGATATTGTACATAAAAGCGTGTTACGGCAAATTCTTACTATGGTTAATTAAAATTTTAGTTTCATGGACACATACCCACATTACTCTACTTCAATCAAAATTACATAATCATCAATCATCACGATCAACGTACTTTCAAATACAATTTGCAAGAGAAATTTTTTCCTCATAAATTTCTTAATAAACTGTGTCAAGGGCAAAATTTTTGAATTTAATGGAAGATATTTCTTTCTTGTTATATGAGATAAATGTACTTGATAAATTTCTTTTTTTATATTATTGAAAGGATTTGTCACATTTGAGATCAAGTGAAGGTGTGTATTTTATATGTGTTTAACTTAGCCAAAGAGTCTCTTTCTTGAGTAATTTAGTACAGTCAATTTGTTCAAAACGACATCATATTTATATTATGGAGTTATATATAACATGTTGCGAAAAGAAAAGAAAAAGTTGGCTATTAACATCTTGAAAACATAGAATGTAAAAGAAAAGGCCATAAATAAAATACTTTGTTTTGTTGTGAAACTATATCTTATCTCTGTTAGCATTCATCAACTTTAGAATAACGTAGCTTGGAATTTAAAATGGTACTATTAAAATCATGTTAACACTTTGAATAAATTATAAATGAGCTCCCCTATTGTTTAATGCTCGTTTGTATAATCCTTTACTAGTTACAAAATCAATAAATGAGCTCCACTACTTGGGCTGCTGGAAGTCATCCACTGTAAAGAAGTCACTGAAAATGTCAAGGCTACCCCATTAAAAGGCGCCACAGTTACTGCCCAAAAATTCTGAAGTTCTCTATTTCTTCCATTGGCTTCTTAGTTTCTACTTTCTATTACAAAGGTATTAAGGAGGACAACTTCCAATAGTTTGATACTTTCAAAGGGCTACGTGTAACTTTTGAAACATAAGAGATCGTGTGATAAACTTTAAATTGCAGTGATTTAAAAAGGATAGGTTCATTAGTTTGATACTTTCAAGGGGGTTGCATGTAATTTTTGAAATATAAGAAAATCATGTGAAAAAACACTAAATTATAGATCATTAAAAAAAATTTACCCCTGATTCTTTCTAATATGGTAAATACACATTAAATCATACCATAAGCTCTTACACATGCACTGAAAGAATAAGGGGCAAGGTGGAGAGGAAATTTAATGACACAAAACCCCTAGTGTTTTGCGGTATTAACACATTCCTACCCATGACAGAGATTCTATGCTCTGCTATTATAACTTTTGAAACACACACAACAACTGCTGATTATGTCAACTGGTTAGTTTTACATCGTCTCTTGAATGAAAACAAAGAAGATGCTTGAGATTAGGACAAATGGGAAGAACCCCAGCTTATGTAATGTTAAGCAGACTGTACAAATTGACCATTTCATTTGCGCCTCACAACATCTGTTTCTGATTGTTGGGGCCTTCAGTTGTGGAAAAAATCTAGGAGGGTTGTCGGAATAGTGGTCTGACCCAAGAGGCATGAGAAACTAGGGCTGTCGATCGAGTCTAATGAGTCGGATTTTCATGAGCTTGAGTCCAGTTCATTTAATTTATTATATTTTTGGTCTTCGAGCTTAAGTTTCGAATTAATAAATGTGAAATTCATATTCAATTCACATAATATTCGGATTGTGAGCTTTATTTAGGCTTAGCCCAAGCTCACTTATTACCTTAATTTTCTATCTTAATATAATTACTGTGACCCCCACTTCTCCCTAAGGCTAATCAAAGGGTATCCGCGGGACGCCTGCCTAGCTCTCGCCAGGACTCAAGCAATTCCATTCAAACTTATTATCGGACCACACAATACGGTCAATAACTTAGATACAATAAATGCGGAAGCGTTCAAGTTTAATAAAAGTCATCCGTTATCCAACCCGCACATCGGGTGTTCAACAACCATCATAAATTCCAAATATACATCATGCCCCAAAAGTTACATTCGGATTCCAAAAATACAACCCAAAAGCCAAAATATAGTCAAAAGTAATAGAAACCCTAAACAAAAGCGTATCAGGAAGGTTTCTTCGATACCTCGCCAAGTTCAATCCTGTTAAGGAAAACAAATCTACAGGGTGAGCAAAAACGCCCGTGAGGCCAAGAACACAAATGCAGGCACATAACTCAGGTAACAAGTCCCAAGTAACAATTCAAGTAATAATTTGCAAGTAATTAATAATGCCAACAAAATATAACCAAAAACAATTCAAGGATATGGTAGCTCTCAGGAGTTAAGTTCCACATTTTGCCGATGTCATTCGTATACCTCCCCGCGATGACTCTCCGTCAACCGGGTTGATATTTCATATCCGTAGTTCACCACTTACTTCTCATCCGTCCACCCCACACCGCTTCAGGCCCGCACGACATTTAGAAGGCTATACTCCACGAGTATGCCAAGCGAGATCTCTCAAATAGATCAAGCTTATCATGTAATTCTCATGGCTCACCAAGGTTCCCGACCAGGCCCATGCCGGCTCGAGTTCCAAGGTCGGCCTATGAGTTTGGGCATCGCCCATGTATCATGTAAGTGTCGAGGAGATTCACTCCAATGACGTATGCAGCCATAACATACCATGTCATGTATTCAAGCATTTGATAGATCTAAGCAGGTATTTCAAGTCATGTAAACCAGGTAAATCATGTTATGTATGAGTCATTTGTTTTCAAATGAGAACGAGTGCGATAAAGTACACACTCGACTCCATTTTTAAAAAAAATCAAGTAGGCTAAGCATGTAATCAAATCCATAGAGTTTAAGTAGTCAAACACTTGACACTCACCAAGTTACGCAAGCAAGCAGGTTGGATTGAGTGTTCAAACTTCCACGGTAGGGTCCTCTTGGAGGTCCTCGTGCGTGCCTGAACATCGAATAGAAGACCATTACTATAGGTCCCTAAGAGACGAGGAGATCGAACACAAAT